AAACAAAATCCTGGCAGTCCAAACCAATTTGTTACAGGACAGAGATTCTAAGAATGCCAGCCCTACCCTTGCTCACTGCCACTACCACACTGCCACCTCCTGTCTTCTGACTCAGGAAGCTTGAATCAGAGGCAACAGTCGATAAAGGAAACTCAGCTAAGAATAGCACAGCTAAACATCTTTCTACCTCTCCTTCCTCCCAGACCCAACCAACTGCCAGAGTTGCTCAATGGATAATTCATACCTTTCAAAATTTAGTTACTGCTAGAAAAGCTGCTGCCTCAGTACTGCTAAGGACAATTATAATGCAGTCACCTCAAATAGGACTTCACTTTTAATGTAAAATCCCAATCCTCTAAGAGGGCACTTGCAGCAGTGTGCCTCATTAAGCGTTTCACAGTATAGTAAAGGTAATCCCCCACTTGCTGACTGCCTAAGAGATACACAGGCAAAAGCAACTGAGCTACCACCATACTACAGAAAAATTTAAGTCAAGCTCCTCAACAAGAAAAACCTCAGATCTCTAATTCCAAAGGGTATTTTCCCCCCAAAGGGTATTTTTAAGCCTTAGCTGGTAACTCATTTATTTCAAACAGAGGGGCAAAACCTCAAAACAAAATATGCCCCTTGCAGTTTATTATAATGGCACTTGGCCTGAACAGATAATGTCAGTGATCACACAAATCAAAAGAAAAGCCAGAAACAGAAGCCAAGATTCGCAGTTCCCACTGGCACCAGGCAAACGTCATGTTTCTGTAACATCCTCCTCTGTGCTTCACCACAGACAGCCACACGGTAGAAACTATGTCTCAGCAGCTACTTTCTAAAAATTCTAGTAAGGCCACAGCAAGAAATTTTTCAAAGTGTACAGTATTGAGAAAAAAATGAAATCAAGAAGAATCCATCCAGTTACAACCACTTAAGCAATCACACACTGATTTTATATTGAGCACTTCCAAGATAACTCTGCGTGTAATTCTTTACCAAGTTTCCTAACAGGCAGAACCTCAAGTATCTGCATGTGTGAGAAACTTGCCAATTCACAAGATTCACCTGTACCACACTGATAAGGACCAGCACAGCTATTCATACCTATGTTTAAAAGTTCAGAATGAAAAATAGCTTTTGATAGCTAAGACTCTGAAGTCGGCCCCACAGCAAAGGGTCATATGCCGTGGTTAATGGGCACACTGCTGGTCATGGCACCATCCTATTCTATAATTAACAGCTATTAAAATACAACACTAGCTTTTAAATAGCCACTTAAAGTCAAGGTACATTTAAAACCCGAGTGACTTTTATAATGCTCTGTCCAAATTTACGTGGTAAACACAAGATTCTAATATGAAAGTAACTTGTTCACTTTATTTTTTAAGGAAACAAGGACGTTTGAGTTTAAGTGCCACTGTCTGTTTTAAAGGAAACACATTGGAAAAATATTAACTGAAATATTCTATTTTATACTTTATAGAAATATATTTATACATGTACTCTTAAGGCCATAACTAAATTGTGAATAAGTTTGATAAAAACTGATTCAGCTATTAAAAACAAAAAATATGAAAATTTCAGAATTTGAAAAGTCATGGAAATTCAACTAAAACCACCACGCTGGGGCTGGGAGTGTAGTTCAATTGCAGAACACTTGCCTTGTGTGAGTGAGGCTCCAGGTTTGATCCCTAACATGAAAAAGAGAAAAAGAAAAGAAAAACTACCACCATCCTCTTAGTTTCTCCATGTCAGCAACTTTGCCATTCTGATCCCATGCCCAATAGTGCGTGCATACATACACATACACACACAGTGAGAAACAGTGCTAATGCTATTTACGTAATCACATAGGGCCTTATATAAAGCCCCACAAGATACCAGAGGCTCTTCCAACCAAATTCAGCTACAGTCTTTCAAAGTCACAACCATTTCCACATTCACCTTTACCTCAGACAGAGAGAGAGAAATTTAAGACTATACCTCGAAGTCATCATCCTATGTTGACTCTTTTACATTCGGAACCCAACATGTAACGCTATCACAGATATCCAATGTAATCGTCTCTTCGTTCCGGATGCAGGGGACCTCAATCTCTTCATAGTACTGCTATAATCTTCTCTACCTAAAGGATATCTGAATGCAGAAAAGCCACATTCCTTCCACATTCCCTTCAGACTTCAGTAATCGGGAACTAAACTCAGTCCAAACCAACTCAACAATGCCCCCCTCCTGAAGGGGTCCCGCCCAGCTCAGCTTGCAGTCAGAGCCAGACCAGCTTGTCAAACATCCAATCACCTTCTAGGCCTGCTCCCTGTGTAGTCAGTGCAAGTCCATTCATCCATCTCAGAGTGCTGCCATAAGCATTCTCTAGCACCATGTTTCCAGCATGCCTTGCACAGCAGGTATTAAAGGTCAGGGCTGCACCAGTGGGCATCCCTGCCTCAGATACACACATGATGATAGGATGCAATGAAATAAAGAGCTCCACCCCAGAATCCTGCAGGCTGACTTGGCAAAAACTGATCTGCGACAATCAACTATCAAGGTGACCACCAGGGCCACTTTTCCACACTGCCGTGGGTACTGGGCATGTAGTCACCAGGGTGCCTTCTTGGCTCCAAAAATGGATGCAGATGGTAGAACAGTCCAGGTACAGAAAACACAGTAACTCCAAAGTTAAAACTGTAATATAAATTCCCAGTACATTTCTCTCAGGACAGAGAGAGAAGGCTCTACTTTTGTTTTGACATTTCAGTACAAAGATTTACAGTACTCAATTGTTCTCTTAACTTAGTAAAAAGAAAAAAATTCTGTCTTCAGTCCCATGTACTTTGCTACTAAGAGTTATCATTTAAAATGCTGCGCATTTTAGCTATTGAAAAATGAACTTAAAATTTAATCTATATTGTTAATAAACTGAAGAGGCTTTCAATAATAAATATTTGCTGCTACCGGTAACACTTCGCCAAATGAGGAACTCCTGTTAGTCATAAAGTAACAAGTTAACTAAGTATGTTTATAGACTTGGAAAAAGAAAATCCCCTTTTTTTCTAAACTGGGGATAGAATACAGGGTTTACACAGAGCTATATCCCCAGCCTGTTTTGAGAAGGGATTTCACTAAAATTGCCCAAGCTGGGCTTGAACTTTGGGCAAAAGCCTCTAAGAATAGAAACAGGCAGTTGTTACCAGACAATGTTTCTAATTTAATTCCCTACACATGGGGGAGAAATTAACACCAGCTTGGAAAGGAAAAGCAGAGGATAAGGGAAATTGCATTCAGGTCAATGAAATGTACCTGGAAAACTCAAGATATTTAATATTTTAAATTTAGAAACTTCAAAATATTGAAATGACAATCCTTCAAATACACTTATTTGCTTATTTTTTATTCAATGTTTTAGGAAAACTAAAGGCTGGGAATGGAGCTAATGGCAAAACGCCTGCCTAGCATGTGCAAAGCCCTGGGTTCTATCCCCAGCACTTGAGGGGAAGAAAACCAGCAAACTAAGACACACTGGCTCAACATAAAACTAATTAGAATTTGCAAAATGTGCTTACAGTTTTTTCCATGGTAGCCAATTCACATAGTATACCTTTAAAAATTATTTTTAGAGGATATGATTTCTCCCTCCATTTTTCAATTCCTGTAAAACCGAGATCAATTTAGATACTTTTGAGCACATATGTATTACTTTAGAAGGTTTAAGAACACATTCTACTGTATAATTTCACCCCTACCAAAATTCCCTCCTAGAACTAAATCAGATCCTTGAGCTATCTTTCCAATTATTCTAATGAAAATTAAGTACACACAGAGAAATCCACAAAATTCAGATCAGCTCATTCTTAACAACAGTACTCATGAAAATTCTCTACCTGGAAAAGAGCTCAAATTAGGAACGGAATACTGGTGACGTTTTTGTCCCCATCTACCTATTTATTTGACTTTTAGCACATGTTTGCAGTACACAGTGATCACACTCACTGTAGGGGGCTAGAACACGTACTCGACACATTTCAGTTCCCTTCTTTTTCCTCTCTCCTGTCACCATCTATCTCTGCAGAGCAAATCCTCCTGCCCTCCAGAACACACAGTTACACCAATTCTCAACCAGATACAGGCAGCCCTGGTTTGAATTAACTTCAAGCTTATTGTTTGGCCTGGTGGGGGTGGGGTGCGGTGGGGGGTGGGGTGGGAGGAGAAGCAGAAATTCTAACCCCCCTCGCAGAACCCAGAAGAGAACAAACCTACTCTAGCACCACTGGGAGGGACCAGCGCCTTGCCAGTTAGTTACAGAGCCTGAAACTGGCCTGCGCTAGAGAAAGGAGCTATTTCTCCAAAATAATTCAGTGGCTGAAACTGTCTGCAAATATTCTGTAAAGTGACACACTACATATGCTCTCAGAGAAAAGAAAACCCACTGCTGAAGTAGCATAAATATTCCAGTCTTTGCCATCTCTTGGCGGTTATTTGTAAGCTAAAATATACCAAGCCATGGGGTGAGCATGGACAAAGGCGGTGTTTGCAGAAACCTGCATAACTTTGGAATGAGAGGACTTCTGGGCATTTGCTCAGTATTCTAATACCCACTGTTCAGCTAACAGAGTAAAGGCAAATTCCTTTCCTCTCAGAGGCGCCCACCACGGCCTCCTAACCCGGACAGAGCGGGGAAGGCACGCAGCACCCGGGCGTGTGGGCAGCTGCTTTCACCTATCCTGATCATTCACTGCCTCCTAAAATCCTGCAGATTCCCAAGGACTGCTGGTTGAGACTTTGACTTGCTGTTGTAGCAACCTGACCTGCTCTGCAGAGAATATTTGCTGGGAGAGCTTCCTACACATACAGACTCGATTACTTCCCACAATTATCACCAACACGCACCCTACCATAAATGTAAATACCAAACCTACTGCAACCCCGACAATGTAAAACGAAAAGAAGTTGCGTTCAACTGTATGGTGCCCCCCCCACCACCAATGCGGTGAGAACACAAAAAATTAGCTCACCTTTGCCTTTTGGGGACCGAGTGTTCAACTTCTATGGGTTTCCCGTGCAGTTCCGTTTTACCTGCGGACACAGGAGAGATGAGACCACCGGCCAACCCTAACGACCTGCCCAGCTTACTAAGTGGCGACACAAATGGCTTCGGAGACTCTGAACGGCCCCCAAGGCCGAAGGAGAAGCCAGGCGCCGCGTGGGTGGGAAGCTGACCCCTTCCAGTGGGTGTGGGGTCTCAGTCTACGGAGGGCTGATCAGAGGGCGAGATCAATGTGGCACCACTTCTGGGGTGACACTCCGGCCCTCCAGCTCTCTCGCCCACCTCCGGAGCCACCCAACCCCACCAGGCCTGCAGCAGCAGCGCCGCGGCCCCGCTCGCCTCCCGGCACACTCCCCAAAGGGCAGACCCGGGCAGGGGACGCGGGCTTTCTTCAGGAGCGGCGCCCGGCCCTCCTCTCTGGTTGAAGCCGGGCCCACCGGGAGCACTTGGCGGTGGGTGTGGAGAAGACCCGAGTGGCAGGCAGGGGTCGGGGCCAGCAGAGCAGGGGAAGAAAAGGCGAACGGCCAGAGGTGCAGCTCCGCACAGACCGAGCCAGGCGCCGCCGGCGGCGAGGCAACCGCCTGCAGCCCGAGTCGATAAAGGAGAAGCCGAAAAGCACGGGCTCCAGGGGACCGCGGCGCCGGCTTCCCCGTGGG